GACAGTAAGAAAATTTGATGTTCAGAACAGGTTTTTTTCTCATAACTATTTATGGAAAAGTTCTGTATACTGACGAAAGAGTGATTCCAAAGCTTAATAGAGTTAATTTGAAAACAAGCCTGAAGCAAATACACAGTTAACACTACTTGGATAATGCCCTTAGTCCAACCTATTTAAATGCTTTCCATAAATCTTAGCATTGATTTTTCTGTAATGATCCTAAAACACAGAATAAGTAATCCTGGAGATTTACACAGAGGACAAGAAGTTAAAAACAACATTACTTTTAAATCCATATGTTGCTAAAAAAGAATGTACCATGGGTTAAAATCAGTATTAATTTCAATCCAAAGAAAGTATCTCCTTCTGTCCTCTTCTATGTGGCCAAACTTGCACATGCTGTAGTCTTAATAAAAGGCATTAACTCCTTGATCTGCCTCATTATGATATAATGGAATGACACATCATAATGCAACTCTGAAAGACAATGCAAAATTAACTTGGTGCCAGAATCACCAAAGAAGCCTTATTCACGCACAGGCTCAATCCAAAGAAAAGTTTCAGAGATAACAGACTACCTACCTCCTTGGGATTCACACCAATGCCTCCCTAGTGAAAAAATCAAGGCAGCCAAAATCCCAAAGGGGTTTACTGAACAATCAACCTTTTCAAGTCTGGCTTTTCACCCCAATGGGAAGTCATTCTGCTAAAATAAACTGCAAGTTTTTTTTTTTTTTTTTGCAGGTAAGAGAAAAAATCCTGTATCGGTTAGAAGAAGCTGCTAGAATTGAGAGTTTCACCGGCAAGAGATTTCCAACACAGGTAGGGTTGAGGACACATATCCTAATATGCAGGAAAGCCAAATGACAGAAGTCATTTTCCCAGTCATTAGACTTCAGGACTCAGATAAAATAGTGATCATTAAATGAATTTGCAATAAGACTATGCTTTTGGAGAGTGGAAATACTTTTCAATTACAGGGAAATAATAACAGAATATACTTCAAGAAAACATTTAGAATTAGAGCATTAGATCTCATAACTAAGAATATCTTTAGAAATGTTATAAAGAAAGAATTCAGTTCCAGTAATCCTTTACTCCAGCATTAACATAAGTCCTTTTCCCAAGACACTAGGGAAAAAGAAGGGATGAAAGGGTGGAAAGAATATAGATGAAAGAA